TTCCAAACCTTCTTTGTCTTATTCTCTCATCTTTGTCAAATCTACCGTTCTGTTGGCTTATGGCCAAGTCCCAATCTGATTTCTGGCTTCTGCTTTCCTTCTCCAACCCGCAACCTCAGGCCTCAGATCAATCACTTCCTGTTAATGCATGCGGACTTCACAGTTCCCAGTGCAAACCTGCCCAAGGCAAGAGGAACTGAGCCAAGAACCAAACATCATTCTGGGACTCAGCATCACATCACCATTAGGGCTGGTCTTGTCTTGATGTGGGCTGCAAGTCTGGACTCTAGCAGCTGGCCTCCGGCTGGCATCAAGCAAACCTTGGCAAGTGGCTTGTGAGCACACACACATACACATCAGGCCTTTTGGAACAAGATGGCTTGGGAAATTTACAGACACAAATAGTAAGTAGCAGGTATAAGGTTCCCCAATTTTAATTACAAGTTAGGAGAGCACAGAAGAATTTAGCAAGGATATATGTGAAATGCACACAAAAGAACCTTGGCCTTTGAGCTTGAAGGGATTTTAAACTGCAGGATTGAAGTTTATCTAGGCCCATCGTGGTCATACAGCATGCAGCAGAACCTCTACTACAGAATGGAGTCAAAACTAATGAGATAAGACCATGGAGGCTAACTTATTGTCTGTAAGACAAAATAAGAATGAGATCTTTGAAATCAGGATGATATAAAATCAGATCCCACCAACAGTACTTACTCTGCAACCCCCACAAAGTTACTGAAGCACTCAAAAGTTTTTGCACTCCTGAGACAAACCACCAATGCAACTGTTACTATGAGGAGTAAATGAACAGCACATATCAGGACCCTAGTCCAGTGGCTGACACAAAAGAGATATCCAGTAAATAAAAAGTAATTGCATTCCTTTTGCCCAATTAAGCAAACACATGTGTAAGAATTATGAATCAGGTCTTCCAGGACATAGAAAATATTTTTTTTCTATCTTCCCAGCCCAACGTCTAAGAATTATCTGTATCTACTATTTCCACATTCTCATGACCCAGATTTGTTTTGTGGTAAATGGACAGAGATTGCTGCCTCAACATATTTTCCTCCATTCTGCAACACCAATGTGACCAGGGTGAATTCCTCTTTGCCACAGTGACTGGTCTGGATGCTTTTGTGATTAAAATGATCCAAGTAGGGGGAGGCCCAAAACTGTCTTCTCCTGGTCAGAGGTGGTATTCTATGTAGGCTTGATGCCTGGAACTACTGTATTTGTTTTGTTGCCATGAAGAAAGTCATTCTTAAAGTAAAATAAGACAGTCCCAGAGTGAAAAAGCCAGAACCCCATTACACTAAAACTAAAACCTGCCCTGGTCCTGTACTTTTAAGTAATGCAAACCAATAGTCTCCTTTATATATAAACCAACACAAATTTTCTACTACCTGTAATCAAGACATTCTAACTTTGCAACTTTTCTACCCACAATCCTAATGCAGATCAGCTATTCCACCAACTCTGCTATTGTGAAAAGCATCCAATGGCCTTCCTGTTGGAGAAATCATCCGGCAGTGTTCTTGCTCCTCCATCCTTGCTCAGCCTTTGAAGATTAGATTTTTCATCAAATATGCAAGTGTGTTCAAGCATATTCATTTTAGCACTGGATGTGATAGCAAAATATTGAAGATGATAGCTTACTGATAACTGAATACTGGAAATAATCTACAGCTGCACACAAACTTTATTATTTTTCTTTTAAATATCATGTATCTAAAATGTATTTGTATGTTATAAAATTGTTATTTTCTTTATATAATATTTATTTAAATATTCTTTAACATTTTATTTCTTCAATTTGTTTTTTTAGTGCATAAATTTATGTGTTCAATCACCAATAATTGAGTAAATAAACAACATATTTATTTCACAGACTCCAGGGAAAGGACAGAGCTGGGTCAGGCTGCTGGGGCTCTGGTTGGCCACACTCCCCTTGGAGGGTTGGAGGAATGCCTGAATCTGGTCCAGGAAGCAACTCTCAGATTGAAAATAACCAACAAAAAAACTCTTCCTAAAGATTTGGCTGAGTAGAACAGACTTCAAAGCCATGGCACTTTTTGAGTTCATTTTAACATGAGACGCTAAATATGAAACAGCCGTTTGAGCTTTGGAAGGCCATCCACAAAACCCAGCTTGCGTGATGTAACTAGCTAAAGGCATCCTGAAGAAAAACTAAAGCAACCACAGCAGGAGTATGCACACAGGGACAGAGGAGTAGCAACCCAGGGATAAGAGATTGCTTCTCAAATCCAGGACCTCAAGTAAAGCCAACAGCCTAGTGTTGCCCAACTGAGATCAGTAGTGGTAGACTTAACCACCAGCTTGGTTTTTCTAAAAACAAAAGGTGAACTGGCACAGATTCAAGCCAAATTGGAGCAAGCACAAAATGAATGAAGTGCTGGAAGTTTATACCTGGTAAATAAACAGACCATGTTCACCAGTGCAGAATTCCCTGACTGTCCCACTACTTAGAAAGCTGTGATATGACAGCTAAGTACTCATTTCCTCAACAAGACTCACACTTCTTAAGAAAAAAAAGCCACTTTCTTATACTTCCCACTTGTAATAGTTCATGTAAAACTTAGAAGAACCTTGTTTCTGCTTTTTTCTATTCTAAGTCCCCTCGATTCAGAGACTTGATGGTATTAGACTATTGGACAAAGGTGGCCAGCTCTGGAAATTTTTTCTTCTATAGAACATATAGACACTTGAGAAAATGTTTCTGTTGGAAAAATATAGAGTGAGAAACAGAAATCTTAGGTGTGTGGCACATTTTGTCATTAGCAGTTTGGAGAAAAGAAAATCCAGAGATTTAAAAATCATAAATTGAACAAGTAAAATGCTAGCACAATGTAAAAATAGAATATGCATAATGACTTAGAGATGCTGTCTATCAGATTTTTCAATAAGACTGTAGACTTTATCATTGTTGTTCAGCTGCTGGGTCAAAACTCAAATAAGGTGAATTTTGTCAAGTTAATTTGCTAAGAAACAACTTCTAATACTCATGGGAGAATCAAATAACAGATGTCAATACAACTGGTTCCTTTGTTTAACCATTTGGTTTGGGATGATATTACTTAATTGACTCTTATATTAATGATTTGTTCTTTGGATGGTTATAAATATGGTAGGTATATTGAGGTATATGGTATGGTATATTGAGGATCGTGCAAACATGAAGATGTGATATCAAACTTCAGGTATATATTGCAGAATTAAAAACAATGATTTTACAAAAGATTGTAGAAGGACATTGACTGTGATAAGACTCACTATTATTTTTTTTCAGTAGAATGATTCATAAAAATCTTAAAAATCTACTTGACTGTCTTTGAGAACTAGACAAAGGTGAGGGAAAAATTACTTTCCATTGCATAATTTTTTACCTTTTGAATTTTGCATTGTGATTAAGGAGTGGCATTCAAACATGAACTAAGTAAATTTAGATAACTTTAAAAATAAGAAAATGCTATATTTCTTAGCAAAATGTAGCTATTTCTTGGACTTTCATCATAAAGTCTCCCCATATGGTCTCTCCTGTATTTGTGACTTTAAGAAAAATCTCAATGCTGAAAACTAAGCTGAGCATGGTGGTGCATGCCTGTGGTCTCAGTCATTCAGGAGGTTGACCAGGGAGGGCTTAAGCCCAGGTGTTCGAGATAAACCCAGACAACATAGCAAGATGCAATATCTATTAAATAAATACATATGTAAATAAATAAATACTGAAAATTCCCACATATTTATGTTCTGTCTTTTGAATTCCAGACTACTTTGTCTTGCAATTACCTGAATATCTCACAGACATTTCAAGAAATGACAAAACTAAGTAATTAATTTCAACTCTTGCCCTTCCCTCATAAACCTTCTCTTGTCATTCTTCCTCCATCTCAGTAAATGATGTCACCTTCTACCTTTGTGCTCAAACAAACTATCTGGGGATTATTTTGGATACTTTCTCTTTAGCTGCATGTCTAACCCCTCACTGAGCCCTAATGTCCATCTTATTTGCATATTTGCCATTTCTTCTCTGTGACCCTGCTATGTGACCAAGTTAGTTATGCCATTATCTCCTACCTACTCTCCACACCTCCCTTCAAACCTTCTCTATGTTATTTCCTCAAAAGCTTTTTTCTAAAGCCATCAAGTTCAAATTAGATTTCCCTATTATTTTACAAAAGGTGTCTGTTTTTCCTTTGCAACTCTTAATTAAGTTTACAATCACATGTTCACATTTGCGATTATTTGCATATAATCATTTTTGCCCAATTGTAATCTCAATAAGGGCAGCAGGGACTGTGTCCATTTTTCCAGGTTCCTATGTCCACAACCTAGCACAATGCCTAGCACATGAGTATGATTAATAAATTATTCTCAAAGGAATGGATCAACCAAAGGGTGAACTCTTACCCTGGCATTGTGCTAGAGATGTTACTTAAGGGCAATAAACGTCTTTTAGAACTGTCATTTATCAATGGACATTTACCTCTATGTACAGATATAAAATGAGTATAAGAGGATATTTTCATGTGTGAACAGGGTATTTATGAGAAAATTTGTTGGCTAGGGCAGGGAAGGGGCATTACTGAGGGAATATATAAGTAAAAGGAAGAGACCAAGAGTTAACTTTGACTTTCTGACCTGTGAAAAGATGTGTGTGATGATCATAGGGTTCACTTCACAATTATTCTCAGAGCCTACTCTACAATATGACAATCCCCTAGATCATTCTTCTTAGGTATGTCAGAACATGTACAATGTCTCGGTGGTAGAAATAAGCATCCTATTTGTATGGTGCATGGGGAGGGCAAGTGGATGATTGTCTTCAGTTCTGGATAAACCCATTATGAGATCCTAGCAAGGGAGACTAGTGCTGCCAGCTGCACTGACCAAGCATCTCAGGCTGTCTATTGCTCATCCCATACTGTGCCCAAGATGATAAGAATTATTCTTGAAAAAAAGAACAAAAAATTAAATAAGTGACAAATTATATTTATTAAATAACAAGCAAATAGTTTATATAGATACAATCACTTGTCTGTTGCCCATGAACACTTCCCTTTCTCTTGTGAAAGATCAGCCCATGTGCCAAAGTGCAAGATAAGCAGCAGTCCTTTTGAATGCCCTGTAAGGTGAAGATGACTGACAAGAAACAGAGCTCATACTTGAGTTCTGTCCTAGTACTTGCAGGAGAAAACGAACCACTTCAATTCACAAATGCAGACGAAGAATTGATAGCTCTATTTAAAATGCCCATGTTGTGCCTTCTCCTTCTCTCTCCTAACAATTAAACCAGCTGTTACTCTTCAAGATGTGTGTCACTTTCTTTGCATTTGGATCAAACTCCAACTGTGAAGATCCACTGAAGAAATAGAAAAACCCTGCAAATACAGACAAGAGAAACAGTGATTTTTTTTTTTTCAAAAAAAGAAATCGGGCAACAGAGAAAACTCAGAAAAATAGATAACTGAAAATATTAAGTCTTTATAGAGTTTTACTCTGTGCTAGGAAAAATACTAAGCATTTTATGAGATTGTTTTTCATTTATTTATACAACAGCCCTGAAAGGGAAACACATCTAACTCCGTCTTACAGTTGAGCAAGTAGAGGTTTGGACAGATTCAGATGCTTGTCTAGGCTTACTCCACAAAGAAGGAAGGTGTCTGTATCGTAGCCAAGTTCTAAATATTTAGGTTGTTCTGCTTCTAATCAGAAAAAACAAACAAACAAAAACCCTCTCTGCTTGCTTGAAAACTATGATCTCTTTCGTGCTTGCTTGTTTGCTTTCCTTCCTTACTCCTTCCCTTCCCTCCCTCTCTTTCTCTCTCTCTCTATTTCTTTCTTTCTTCATAACATTCCTCCTCCTCCCTTTTCTCCACTGTGCAGCCTGAGGGACATTTCTGGCCTCAAAGAATCACAGTAAATCTTTCAAAACAAAGGCCACACTTCAGTGTTCTGAAAACATGGTACCCAGGTTATCTTTCAGTAAAGATCATCAACCTTCATTCACTTATCCATGAGTGAGAAAAATGCTTTTTTAAATTATTATTATTAAAACCTTGAGTACACAGGAAGAAAAGTATTTGCAATGTGGCCAATCACAAATTTAAACAAGACAGAGAAATCTCCCTGGGAATTAGTAATAAAAACTGGATGAGATGAGGGAGAAGGTCAGCCAGGCAGTATTAAACCTGACCACATCTTTTGATGGGATATTTGCACCAACACATGGTAATGTGATAAAGTAACACCTGAGAAATTTGGTTTTTATATACAACATGTATAAAATAGAGGTTTGTGTTAATTATCTTTACAATGCAAAACAACTCATGTGAGGTAGTAATACAGTTGGTACAGAGGTAGGTGAATTGAAATTTGGGGGAAGGAGGAGGGAACTGACTTTTTAAAAATCCTGTTATTAAAATTTATTCAATTCTCGTCTTCCCACTGATGCCATGGAATGTTTAAAGGGCCCTACAGTGAACAGAGTAAGAATCCTCTTACCAAATGCTTCAAAAACAGCGTCAACCTTTGAGTCCACCCCTGGAAAGTCTTCAGCCACCTGCCTGGGAAAGCCTGGCTCCATTGATTGGCTCTTCTCATCAAATCTGTACCAAGTAAAAGAAGACCAGCTCAGGATTGCGTACAGACTGTGTTAACCAAATTCATAAATCATATGGAATTCTAGTAAATTTCCCAAGTACTGCAAATAAACATCAAGCATATTTATTACTATAGAAATATATGACCTTAACAACACTACCAACTTAATTATTAAGGCCAAAGCTTCATTAAGAGCAGGTGCAACACTCTACTATGTAAGATGGGGCTTATAATTTTTGTAATGGACTGTAAGGAAAGATCCTTAGTTGTCTATTTGCAGGCATGAAGTTGTAAACAGATAAATGTACACACAGATACACACAGAGTGGGTTTAATCATTTATCTGAAATACAACCTCAAGTTCCTGACCATAATTGGTCTGTATATACCTGTCCTCCCTCCTTACCCCACACAAGAGGAGTTCTGTGGCTGCCTCCTAAGAAAAGGGTTTGAGACAAGAAGCAGAGCATGAAAATATGTTTTGGGCTCATGGGCTGGGCATTGTGTGGTCTGCCCTGATATCTCAGAGTCTGGGAAGATGGCCTAGGCACTAGCCTGTCTTCAAATCCTGAGCTGTATTCATGAAACAGGATTAATTTTTCTTGTTGCTCCTCAAACAGGCAGAGATAATAAATGAGTCAATTTAAAGGAGTCCTTGAAAGCATATGTAATGTTAGTAAGATAAGACAAACACGCCGTGAGACAGAGATGAGCTGGGCTTGAAGTCTTGAAGTTCAGGAGGGGAGGCTTCATGGGGGCAATGGGATTTGAACCAGGACTCAAAGAATGGGAAGGATCAAGTGGGAAGAGAAAAAATGAGGGACTCCAGGTAGGTGGGGAGCAGTGTAGAAGTAGAAGTGCCAGCCAAGTTGATGGAACACCACTCAGGAGAGCTGAAGCAATGTCTGCTGTGAGGCACTGCCCTGTGTCTGGGGAGGTGCTGGCCCACAGTGTCAGGAGCCCCCACCCTCTAGTGAGAGGGAAGCAGATCCAAGGGTAGAGTGGAGGGGCGATCTCCCTAACTGGGATCTAGGCAAAGTCTTTCCTATTGCATCTTACCTCCAGTATTCACCCTCTACAAAGAAGTAAGTTTTCTTCTTTTCTTTATCAGAAATGGCTGCATCAATTTTCCTTACTGTTGGGGGGAAACCCAGTGTATAGATGCTTCGTGGGTAACCAGCTTCTACTGCTTGTCCTCTGATGGCCCAGAACTGGTTTCCTATTTGTTAAAAATTCAGAGTCATATTGACTTAATAACAGTTAAAATCCTTTTAGTTTTAGAAATACATTTGAGCACCTTAAAGATGAAGCTTAAGTTTTAGATTTAGTCTCCAGCTCCATAGTGGACATTTAACAAAAATATACATATTAAAGGAATGAACAAAAATCAAATGAATGAATTTACAACCCTGGGTAGTTTATCTTCCTGTGTTCATTTTTTTAAAACCTCAGATATAATAGAATATGATTGATCTTAGCTATTTCCTCATAACCTTTAGCAACTTTAACAGCCAAAATTTGACACAGTAGAGAAAATTAAAGTCCTATTAAGTTTGATTGTCAGAGAGTTTATTTCAATGTTTATATAATAATTACCTTTAAAAATGAAAACAGTATCCTTGCTAGTAACTTCACATGCAGCATCCACACTTGAAGGAAGGAATGGCCAAAACGAAGAGATCAGATGAAACTCAGGTTCCAGGGCCCTGAGAGATTTGCGCCAAAAATGCCTGAAATCCATGTTAAGAGAAGTGTAAATTAGAAAATAATCTTTCATCTTTAGCACAATTTCCTCCCTGTCCCACTTCTCCCACTGTCTCCCATTCCTTCATCTTCTAGGTTAGATTCCAGATGGAAATTAGGTATATCATCATTGGAAAAGTAGCTTTACTTTTTCTTCAGAACACTGCAAAGTGTTTCCTGTCACAGATTTCCAGAGTAATGTCTTCTGTGAAAGGAAAGTTATCCTACCATGAAAACTAAGCGGCCCAGCGTAAGCTTTAACTACCTGTAGGACATGCAAAATGGTGTATACACCATGTTACCGTCCACACTTTTCAAAAAGATTGTGTGTGTGTGTATGTGTGTGTGTGTGTGTGTGTGTGTGTTGCTTAAATATATTCTTGTATATGCCTAGAATAATTCTGGGAGAAAACACAAGAAGTATTGACTGTAGAGTCATCTGGGGAAGCAAAAATGTAACTTTCATTTGGGCAGTTTGAATATGTAGCATGTGTGTATATATCAAACTGTAAGCAAATTAAATGTAATACTTATCCTGGCATCATTTTGAAAGGAAGCACAGATAAAATTCTGAATCTAAAGATCTACTTGTTTCCTTTGAAAAGTAAATATGACTTAGAATGTCCAGGAAAAACAATTCAAGATCAAGAACCAAATCATCCTGAGTTTTCATATGTGAACTTGGCAATTTAGGAAAATGTGGAAAGGAGAGCACCAGATCTGAATGATTTGAAGCTCAGGGGAAATGTTTTTTATCTTAAATGTTTAATGTTTAAATATCTCTATCAAGTTTCTGTTTGTTTTCTTTCCTAAGCATTTTACATCAAAAGGATAGAGAGGAAAATATAATTTTCTGGCCTGACCTGTCTTTAAAGAATAGGATTTCTCCCCTGAGGGTGCTGACTGCGTCAAAGGACAAAGCAGGATCACACATGGTTGGTGGTGAGCCTAGCCCAGACTCTGGTGAGCTAGACTTTGTGGGCTCCAGGGGATTCCGAGGGGGGTCAGTGGCAGGTCCTGAAGGAAAAAGTAAAGAAGGCAAACATGAGGGGAAAGGTGATGTGGATTTAGATGCTTTGCAAACATCCTCAAGGTGTTGTGAGCTAAATCTCCAATACTCACATGGCATCGTTGGTTGCAAAGCTACCTTTTGACCAGCATCACTTACCATAGAGGGACTGAATGCCATCCACATCATCTTGAGAAAGGCGGAAGCGGGCCAGGTCTGTGAAGGATTTGTAGACTGGATACATCAAGGCTTCGGGGTTGGCCGAATGAAAGAGACCCAGGGAGTGGCCAAGTTCATGAGCAGCAACCAGGAATAAATTGGTCCCTACTTCAGAAATATAAAAATAGTTACTTATTCCCTAAATACATGTACATTATATAGGTAGCTGTGCAATTTATTTATTTCTCAGAACCACACAGGCACACAGGGCTCTTTTCGTTTTCCTGCCTTGTTCATTGATTAATTGTGCAATTAACTGATTACACATTTAATGGAAAGCCAAGTGTATTTCAAGACTCATACTTGAAATTAATCAAGAGAAAGTACCCAGGCACAATTTCCTCCCTGTTCCTCCCCAGCCTCAAGAGCCTTTTTACTCCTATGCAGATATGAAGGGACTTGTTTAGCATATCAACAAATATTTCTCTTGTTTGCCAATGAAAAGAGAAACACTGTTTCAGTGTATTAACATTTTCCAGTCACAGTCTCAGTTGAACAGATCACCCTGTATTCTGTTCTGGACTCCTTGAACAATCATACTCCTGTGGCTTTCTATTGGAATATTGCCTGCATAATTTTTAGCCTCATAATCATTACACACATACTGAGTCCAAAAAGATGAATTATGATAGATGTCATAGGATTTGCAAAATTGGTTTAAAGTATAACATGACCAATCATGTCTAGTGTTTGTTACAAAAAAGATTTTGGATATACAAACGTGGGCTGCATTCAGATTTTTTTCTTCATATTATATATTTAAAAACCCGCAATTGGAAATTGGAAAGCTTTCAGTAATTATGATTGACAAACAAGTAAGTATACTTTACTTTTTAAAGTATTGCTTGGGCAATTTGCAACCCTGGGAAAGTTCTCGTTTAAGACTGTAGAAACCTTACTTTGTAAGAAGATGTAAATTGAATCAAAACAAGAATTTCATATAGCACTAAACTCACATATGTATTTTCTACAGATATTCTGTTTGTATTTTCATTATAAATGCAAATTAAATCTCAGAAGTAGAATTACTTGTTTCAGTCATTTTTTGGAAAACTTTGGAAGACATTCCCCAAACTATACCGTTATGAACTGAGAAAATTTCTTCCACCTAAATAGTTTGAGTATTGTATTGGGGTTGGTCCTTTCTTTCACAAGTCCCCCAATAGTCTTCTTAACCTAGAAGTAGTAAAATGTTGACTGAGCCATAAAGAACAAAAAGAACCTAAGTTTCTGGAATTTAGTTTTGATTTATGTCTGAAAAGCACAGTTGGTGGGAGAAATTGCATAAACAATATCCAGGGCACCTTTTAGTGTAGATGCAATGCACTATACCATCTCTTGTATATCTGCTGTTAATAATAGTCCTCCTTAGAGCACAGACAATCCACAGTCATTAAAAAAAAAATAACAATGATATTTCCTATATTGAGCTTATTAGGAGAGGGAATAAACTTTTGGGGGGATGAGTACTAGGGATTGAACTCAGGGACACTCAACCACTGAGCCACATCCCCAGCCCTATTTTATATTTTATTTAGAAATAGGGTCTTCACTGAGTTGCTTAGTGCCTTACTGTTGCTGAGGCTGGCTTTGAACTTGCAATCTTTCTGCCTTGGTCCTCTGAGCTACTGAGATTACAGGTGTGTGCCACCACACCTGTCAGGGAATAAACTTTTAAACATACAAAAATTTGTTCAATAATAATAAAACAAAACTATATTCTGGGGGCTGGGGCTGTAGTTCAGTGGCAAAGTGCTTACCTAGCATTTGTGAGGCACTGGGTTTGATCCTTAGCACCACATAAAAATAAACAAAGGCATGCTGTCCATCTAATATATATATATATATATATAGATAGATAGATAGATAGATAGATAGATAGATAGATAGATAGATTTTTTTCCCTGACAAGGCAGAGTGGCACATGCCTGTAATCTCAGCAGTTTGGCAGGCTGAGGCAGGAGGATTGTAAGTTCAAAGCCAGCCTCAGCAACTTAGCGAGGGCCTAAGTAATTTAGTAAGATCCCCTCTCAAAATAAAAAATGAAAATGTGGCTCAGTGGTTAAGTACCAATGGGTTCAATCCTTGAGACAAAAAAAATCATAGTACATAATATATATATATTCTGTTGATCCCTAACCCAATGGGAAATACAGAACAGACATTTTCTTGATAATTCTAAATATAAAGAGAAACTAACACTCTATCACATGTAACACTAACCTGCTGTATCCTTCGTCCATTGCTCATCGTCATCGAAGTGAGCATCACCATTAATCCCTGGCCCAGGTGCATAGGCATGAGCCAAAACTTGTCCAGGTCCATCAAAAGGGATAAAGTCTCCATGTTCTAAAAGGAAAAAAATTTTTTTTCCTTTTAAAAAGATAGGCAATTATGATCTCTCCTGAGCCATCAATGAAATAGCATCTGATAAATACTTGCATTTCATTTGATTTTTTTAATTTTCATGATTCTTTTTACCTCTAACTGCAAATGAGATCATTATGTCAGCCTCTCCTTCATGCATCCTGGAGAATGTGAGTGGAGTCACCTCCTCCCAGACTTTCAGAGCTTTCTCAATGGCAGAATCAACAGCATCTCTTGGCAAATCCGGGGTGTAATTCACGATTCTAGATGAGAAAATATGAAGAAAGTAATGTTTTCTCCTGTGATACAGCCAATCAAATTTCAATAACATGTGAGGACCTCTTTGGACCCATTACCTGTAAGTAAGGTGGTTTTTCCCCCACTTTGGCATGCCAGGAAATGTATTGAAGTGACCAACGTCAGGGACTCCACATCTGGGCTTGTTGATCACTTCCAATGTGTTAGAGTCCAGCTTTCCTGTCACTTCCAGTCCAAGGAACTTCTGCATTTCTTGGATTTTTTTAACAACAGGACTACTGTCCTTTCTTCTAACAAATTGTTTCCCATCGTTTGCAAGGTTGTAATATTTTTCTAGGTATTGCTAGTGGAATAAGCACAGTTTTTTTTAAAAAGATTTTTAGAACTAGCTATTCATAGTAAAATTTTAGAGTTCCCCACTTTTCTTAATCTATTTGAAATGTTTCTCTAGTTTGCTGAAATAATAAATGTCAGAGTGCATTTAATTCTTCATTTAGAGACTTCTCCTCATCCTTGCTTCACATTTGTAACCAAACATCTCTGCAGCTTAGTTTGTTATCAAAACATGCAGGTGAAATAGAAAATTGAGATAAATTTCCAGTGCCCTTAAATGAGAATTTTTTTTAAAAAAATTAACAAATAAACCTCTTTGAGCATAAATATTTTCAGGTTTCAAGAAAATTTATTCAATTTTCCACTTTATGCTTTTCATAAAGATCTACCTTAAGAAAAATGTTGGACAAATTCCCTTGTGCAAGCATATCAGCACTATAAATATTTAGGTAAAATTACATTGGATTAAAGTACCCAAAGAAGTTCCAAGAAAGACATGGTTCATAAACTCTTCCCTTGCTATTCATGTTCCTCCAGCTGCTAATCCTGTGCTGCTGTGTGATCTCAAAAAATACCCAATATTTCTAGGCTTTCTTTCTTCCAACATAAAAAAAGAGTATCCCAAATGATGTGATATTGAGACCTCTTCATTCTAGTACTTTATAAATCTCCATCCTTGAACTATTCTTATGCAGTAAGTCAAACCCTTCTGTGGGCAGCAGAGATGGTTTCCCTGCTTGGCCCCCACCAATGCATGTGAGGGCTATTTCCATTAGTTACCTGAAGAAGCTCCATGCTGGTGTCTGCGCCTCTTGAAGCTCCATTCAGTGGATAGGCTGAGCAAACTGCCACACACAGCAGCAGAACTGGGAGACTCCTCATTTCCAGTGGCTTTCCTTGGATCCCAGATGCCTTTTGCCCTGCTCTCTGTCTACCTCCTGCTAAGTCCACCCTCTGCAGCTCAACATTTATAGAGTGATAGTGTTTGTTTAGATCACTCGAAGCTTGACTCATCATTACTTTCATCCAAATGGCAGCGGGACCATATCCAAAAATTCCGAATTCAAAGTAGGATGATATAACCTACTTTACTAATTTTTCTCAAACTTCCCAATTTTGCAAGGCAAAATAGTGATTAATCTCCAGGAAATACTTCCTGTCGTGGCAGAAGAGAAAACTAGGACATTTTTTTTAAGATGGAAAAATTGACTAGAATTCACTGGCAAATTATGTTTGTGTTTGAGAGTGGTAGACTGGCTTGTTAAAAAGTCAGGATTGTGCAGAACTTTTAAAAGCCGTTTTATTTTAAAAACATATACTAAAATTAAATACAGTGAGATATAAACAAATGAAAAGATGCATACACATAGCTGTAATCTATACTATATGCTATTATATTTTAAAATATAGGACATAATATCTAGAAGAAAATTCATTCTTTTTTTTGTGTGTCTTGAATTTGAAATACCTGCAATTGATTTCTGGTTGCATTTGCCAATCCCTAAAAATAGAAAAAGTTCATGGGAAAAAAAGAACAAAGATGGTCTATTAAAAAGAAGGAGGGATATGCTTTTTGGGTCGGTTTTAATTATTTACCCAATTTATTAGTGAGTGGTGGAACCAAAATAGCTATTCCACAAAAACTTGTAGAATTGAAATGAATGACATTGTTCACCGAACTGGAATTCTACCTTTGTCTTCTACCTTATTATTCTTTTTCAATTTCATTTCCTCACCCTTAAATTCAAATTAGTAGATGATTTGAAGTTGAAAAAAAAAAGACATCCTAAATTCTCTCGTCATAATTCTTCTTTTCTCTTCTCTTCTTCTCCCCTCCCCTCCTCTCTCCTTTTCTTTCCCTTCCTTTGTCAACTACAGTGTTGATCACATTATTGGTATATAATAAATGCTTATAAGGAAGATGTTGAACATTCTCAGGGAAAGTTTTTCTTAAACATTTTAGGGTCCTCATCACCTGCTCTCACCCACTTCCCGGTCTCTTCCCTGATCACTGCCTGTTAATTTGTTTCCTAAAATGTAGAACATTCTGGGAATGAGAACTAGGTAAAGTGCTGAATTAAAATTTTGTACACCTAAGAGGTAATTAATAAGTGAAAGTTTTGCTTCCTCCATTTGCATTTTGTTTTATTTTTATATGCTTCTTAATAATTGTTGGAGAGATTTCACCCACTAAGTATAAAAGATGCAATTGGATTTCCCATTGGTAGTAAGAGTTCTAAAACTGGAAGTGCCCAAACAGAAGCCAGATGCTCACGTGGCAGGAAGCCATATACAAATTTAAGCATCCATTTTTGGGTTAGATTCTACATAAAAACAACTCAAAACTAGTGTTCTAAACATACAACTCAAACAAAAACAAACCCTAATGTTCTATGGTTTTCCATTCCTTTGGGGAAAAAAATCTGTATCTTGTCTGCATTGAAGTAAGGAGGAAATATTTGTCCACACTGATGGGTGAACAAGGTGGATGGGGGTGGTGGCAGAACCTATACCAAATATGAATTCCAGGAAGGAACAATGGAGCCAACCGGGGAAGGTAGTAAGAAATCAAAAGCAGAAGGGTTACAGCAACTGCAATGCAAATTCCTTCTAGATGAAGGCTTCTCCTTGCATTTTGTTGATTAAACTTGAAATGTCAATTCTTTAATGAAAAAGAATAATCAAATCAAAGAACAACTGAGTAGAACAAGGAAAAGGAAGAAGGAAAGAAGGGAGGGTAGGTGAATTTATAATTCAAATGTAGAAGGAAACTGTGAACACTAGAAATGGACATTTTTCACAAAAGAATGAAAATGGCTATTCCATAAAACATCATTTATTGCATGGTTAAATATATATGAGGGACAGATAATGGCTGGTTTTATAAATCTGACTTCCGTAATGATCAGAATCTTGGAATTAAATTCAAACTGATCCAAACTTGCATCTGTTTGTCCAAGGAACATTCGATCTGATAAATCTTCACATTTGTCTTCCTGTTTACCATGCTTCTTCATGACTAATTAGACTTGATGAAGCATGATCCTTGCCACAGCCAGCTGATATAATCATTCAGCTATATATTAATTTATCAAGTGTCTGAATCTGAAAGTCTTTGGAATATCCAGACCAAGAGTGTAGACGTAAATAAAATCTTAAAAGAGAAGTTTAGAAAAAGTTACAAATCAAGGTAAAGTTAATTTTAAATTAGCTTTTTCCAAAAGTAAGAAAGAAAAAAGGAATGCAGAAACAAGGAAATGAAGGAAAGAAGGTTATAATCTAGAAGACATAGTACCTATACAATTAGCTCTATAAGAGATAAATCAAGAATTAGAGAAATGCAATTAAACCTACACTGAGATTCATCTCACTCTAGTCAAAATGGCAATTATCAAGAATACAAGTAACAATAAATGTTGGCAAGGATGTGAGGGAAAAGGTACACTCATATATTGCTGGTGGGACTGAAAATTGGTACAACCACTCTGAAAAATAGTATGGAGACTCCTCTTTAGTATGGAAACTAAAAAGAACAAATAAAAATTTTAAAGAAAGAAAGAGATTGTACTGGAGTGAAGCAGAAAGTGTTTGCTTTAAGAGAAGACCATAGGTAAAGCAGCAAATGAGAATCCAGAATGTTTAAACATGGAGGAAAATTCAGGTATAGAATAAACAGCTATGCAGAGGCAAAAAAGAGTGTGGGGCTAGAGATGTAATCCAGCTGTCAAGTGCTTACCTTGCATACACAGGGCCCTGAGTTTGATTTCTAGCAACACACATGTACACGTGGAAAATGGCAGAATTACGTCGTATTGAAGAAAAGGATCATAATGAAATATGAAAAAATAAAATTGTGGGATGATAGTTTGGACCCTGATAATGTAAGATCGTTAGTCTGCAGCTAAGATGTTTAGAGTTCATTCTATTTTTGGTGGAAAGTCATGTTTCTACAAAATACAATAAAGTGTGATATACTTATTATAGAAAATTTAGAATATACTAAAAAGTAGAAAGAAAAAGTAAATCATTTATAGTCATGGCATAGGAGAAAAACCTATTAATACCATTAATTATGTACTTTCTTCTAAATTTTTAATGCCAGCATATTATCTTTTACATCATGTTAATCGTGGGAATTTATAAAATTTTATTTCCCCCCCCCCAAATTCTGAATCTCACTAGCCAGAGGAAAGTTTTAATAGGCACTATATTTCATCTGATTTGAGGGATAAATCATATTGCTTACAGATTTTTTTTCCCACATGTGCTTTTCATAGTTGAACTCATGCCATATTTGTTGATTTTTATGCCTGTTTTCCACAGAAACTTTCAAATATTCCAGTTGGAAGTTAATTAGAATAATAAAAGGGGATCAGGAACAGATGATATCTGTACCTGGGTGGTGTAGTTTTTGGGGTTTTCTTGTTTTTGTTTTTATGTGTAAAAGTACAATAGCTCAAGCTCTTGGGCTTCCTGTCTTGGCGTGTGAGCTCTCCTCTCCCTCTTGTAAGTGTTCCTACCATGATGCCATTCACTCCATGATCCAGCGAAGGAGGCCTCAGCAGGGCTGAACCCTTGCCTACACCATGCCCTCAAACTTCCTGAATTAATCCTTGAAAAATAGCCCTTCTCCAGATGGTGGGAATAAAACTAATTCTCTTCGAAATAGAAAACATTTTGAAAGATGGCTAGATTAGCTAGAACTAGCCAAAACACCAAGCAAAATATGTCACTAGTTTGAAGAATGATCCTTTAATTCTGATAAAAATAGCAAGGGGCACTCTGCTTCAGAGTTCACCTGAAAACAATGATAAAATCTGAATCTCTGTCAACACTTGTCCATAGTCTAAGGAAAGATGAACATTTCCAAGCACTCGTTCTGACAGCCAAAGTGAATATTCTGCTTCCAACTCCAAGGATGAGGAAGGGGTTGCTAAGGAACATAATGCAGTCACGTCTAGTCAAAAGATTCAAGCTCACAACAGAGTAGTTTCAGCTCCTGTTTGCAAAGAAACAACTTCAAGAGAATAAAAAAGAGAGAAAACAAATGATTTAGTTCAAGAATATTTTGAAGCTCATAGCTGTTTAGAAATTTTAGCCTTCGATAGAACATTGAAGAAGCTAAAGAGAGACAAAACCGGTCAGAAGTTTGTGCAATTTATTGAGCAAGATTCTCTTTTGTTGTCTGCTGAATGTGAACAACTAAATCAACACATGAAAAATCATTTCATAAAAGGATGCTGCAGTTCCGTCTTGGGTTCTACATGGTACTTTATGATTTGGGTCCTAGGAGAAATTTACTAGAAAGGTTTTGAAACACCAGGCTGCAAGATATTACTACTCGTGCTGTCATCAATGTCTTCCTTCCTGGAGTCAGTGTGAGATCAGTCCTGAATTATATAACAGAAGAAATGTTTGACTGTATGGGTGATCTCTGGAGTGTACCAGATCAGTTAGAGTGGATAATCAACAAATTTAAAGAAGATTCCTCTTTGAAATTCTTTCTTCTCGTCCACAATTTGTATAGCCAAATGATGGGAGGGGATAACAGCCAGCATATTAGTAGAGTTGCCACCTCTATGTAACATACACCTCATAGCATCTACCAATCACCTCAATGCTTCTCTCACACGGAATCATGCAAAGCAGAGTCTTTATAACTGGCTTGGGTGTGGCACTACGACACAGAGCCCTTATACTAAAGAAACCTCCTTGTAAGAATTCTGGTTAAATAATCTGTATCCCTACCACTTAGGTCCTGACTCCTGTCTTACAAAGTCTTACCACAACACAAGGGGGATTTTTTTCAAACTACTAATGAAGTATCAGCTGGGTAACAGATGTCCTTCCTTCTTTTCAAAACTTTCTTCTCAAAGTTCACTAGCAGTGTTGAGTGGCATTTCTCATCAAATAATTATCTGACACTCTAGGCGCTGTTAAATGAATTTAG